TAAATATTTTAAACTATGAAAATGAATAACCTACACAAGTTACAAAAGTAAAAATAAAGAATTACAAATTTAAATTAGGCATTACCTAAAAGAAATAGGATTCTAAATACAGTTTGTAAATGTCACTTTTTAAATGAATGTTAGCAGCTATATCTACTAACCTTTTGCAGAGGCTGTATTTAACCATTTGCGTAGGACATCCACTTCACAAAACTTATTCTATACTGACATGCTTAGGAAGTGCCACTTGTGGGCAAAGTTATTCGTTGCAGCTCCGAATGTAATGGAAAAATGATGACAACCCGGGGGGGTTAACACAGATGAGGAAGAGGACAGCACTATTCCCATGAAGCTACATGGCTATAACAGAGAACGTAGACACACAGGGCTGAATCAACGGCGAATAACAGCCGCTAGCATAGTGGCGGGCAATGTCCGAAACACTGGCCAAGAACATTTACTTTAAGAAGGCAGGGTCGGGGGATGGGACGGTTCTTATCTTTGAACTACATGATTATAGAGTCTAGTGAAAATTACTTCACGAAGAAAATAAAGAGGACCATCTATGCACCTCACTCGCAGAACGCTGCAGAGCTTACACAAGGCCATGAGTTCCGGCCCCAGCAGCACAAACCAAGGAAAGCAAGGGGTCACATTCATAGGTGGTGCCTTCTCTCTCACACCTCAATTACCTCCTACTTCCTCTCCCTCTGCCGGGAAGTCCCGCCTATACCTCCTGCCTACTTATTGACCAGCCGGCTGGCTTTTTATTACACCAATCAAAGCAATACCCCGGCACACAGTGGGCAAATATCCCACAACACGTAGGTGTGATTCTCATACACAACTTCCAAGTCTACTCAGGGGACGAAACCCAAAAGGCTCATGCTGTTGGGGGCAAAGTGTTAGCCTAGCACAGTGGGAGAAGGTGGACCGAAATGAGTATGAACACATACAGGTTTTATATATACAGCTACATGGGCTTGTGTGCTTGTGCGCACGCAATCCCAAGGCAGAGGACCACTTTAGAGAACTGGTCCTCTCCTTCCACCAGGCGGGCCCTGGGAGTCCAACTCTGATGCTGAGCCTGACTGCAAGCCCGTTTATCTGCTGAACCATCACAATACAGCACCCCCACCGCCCCTTTTTGAAACTTTTAGAAGAAAACGAACTTCTAAAACTTGTTATTGACCTGGGCTGTCCTGTTCGACTTTTTATCGACCTGGGCTGTCCCGTGGCCTCTACTCGTGCAGAGGTACATGTGCCCACGGACATACATATGCACGCAAAGTAAATAAATCATGTGATTTAAAAACAAAACAACAAACAAACAAACAAACAAACAAAAACACTTGTGGTATCAAGGGATGAAACCCAGGGCCTTGTACATCTAGGCAAGTGTTCTAGCACTGAGCAACACTCCCCCATAAATCATTTCTTTTTTTAAAAATATTTTATTTATTTATTTATTTATTATGTATACAATATTCTGTCTGTGTGTATGTCTGCAGGCCAAAAGAGGGCATCAGACCTCATGTGGTTGCTGGGAATTGAACTCAGGACCTTTGGAAGAGCAAGCAATGCTCTTAACCACTGAGCCATCTCTCCAGCCCCATAAATTATTTCTTTATGAAATAATTAAATAATAATAAAAGCAGCTGGGCAGAGGTGGCACGGGCCTTTAGTCCCAGCTCTCAGGGGGCAGAGGCATGTGGAGCTCTAGGAGTTCGAGGCTAACACAGTTTACAGAGCGAGTCCTAGCACAGCCATGGCTGTAACACAAAGAAACCCTGTCTTCAAAACCCATAATAAAAAGAACGACAATAATAATACACTCCACGCATAGCTAAACTGACTCTATATTCTAACCCCTTAATTCAAAAAACTTAATGGATGTTTTTATAATAATATAGAACGCCCTGAGAGAATCTCTAGGGGTCAACCTCACGTAGAAACATCACTGCATCCCACCAAACCCTAGGCTCTCTCTCCTGGGCCTGTTCTGGCAGAAAGTGAGAGGGCTTGTGGAACTCAGAGCTCTGGTTGCCATGGCTAGGCATGGGGGATCCCCTGGAAGGTGACTTTACTGCCAGGCCCTCTAGCCTGATATAAATCGGAAAGCCCAGTAGAGGGCTCTGCTTCCCCATCTGGGCTGGTCCCAACCAAGGACCCTCTCTGGAGACTCCATGGCAGTTGGGGTTTGGAGTTCCTGTGATGGGAAAGCATGGGGCCCAGCTGGCAACAGTCCTAAGTTAGCAGACTCTGGACTTCTTATCTCCTGGCATTCTGCCAGCCGCCAGCCTGAAGGTCAGAGAAGGCCCACTGTAGACTCTAGGGGGGTGGGGGCTTTAGCATGACCCTCTCCTCTTTCCCTGCTCTCTTGGGACCCTCTCTTTGCCCAGAATCTGCTTCCCCAAACAAACTGTTAGGATGGAAGCAGAATCCCCTCCCTTGGTCCCTCCAATATACTGAGCAGTAACTGGCACCTTCCCAGTGTTCCAAGGAAGACACAAGACTATCGCTAAATTCACCATATTTAAAGGGTGAGGTACACTTCTTTGGTATTCCCCAATAAGTCTCTGCCACTCACAAGCAATGTCACTTGGGGACACTGATTAACCTCTCTGGGTCACTCCAGATAACATGCCAGCCTGTAGCTCTGCAAAATGGCAGAGTGTTACTTTCTTCAGGTATTAAATGGTACAGGAAGAACAGAACTGGTAGGGTTGGGGGGCTCTGGGCTTGGGGGAAGCAATTCAATATACTCCACCCCACTAGGGGTTATCTTGGGGTGCAGGGAAGAGGAAGCAGGTAGGAAATCTTTGAAACCAGCACCCACCCCGTGTCTGACAAGTATCCTACACTCACACACACACATAGGGGCGCTGCAAGGGGTTGGGGTGGGAGTTCTGCCTGGCCATGACTAAACCCTGATGAGGGATAGACTCAAGGCAGAAAAACACCCATCTCTCCTAAGATTGCCCAATGGATCTGTGAGCTATTTCCCGGCAGGCCACAGAAAAGCAGTCCCCGCAGGAGGACAAGGGACACTTTCTTCCCTGCTAAGGAGAAGACAATTCACCTTATGTCTGGTTCCCACCATCCTTACAACCTAGCCTAAGTGAGCGGCTGAGACGCTAAACCCACAAAATGGTGGAGCTACCAAGTCGTCAGCCACATTCCAGACGTGACCACAGGGTTCCACCAGTCAGTGAGAACAGACCCACTGTTGAAGGGAGACTGTGTTGGGATGTGTGCGGACAGAGAACTCGGCTCCAAAGCCCTGAGAGCTCTGCCACCGTGGCTTCTCTAAACTACCCCACCTGAATTCTTCACTCCCCACATCTTCACCTGAAAGGCAGAGTGCGCCTTCTGCCTGCACCCACCACAGGGGCCTCTGAAGGGTGCAAACCAAGCGCTGTACAAGGGACCTGGGTCTCTGGCAGCATCAACTCTTGGTTTGCAATAGCACACTGGATCCCCGGGAGCCTGTAATTCTCCTCTTATCTAAATGAAAGACCAATTGCATAGCTCGCCTCACCCCTCAAGGTAGTTGGTGCTTTAGCCAATTTCTGGGCTCTTTTATTCCCGTATCTGGGCCTCTACACTGTCCAGGTGAACAACTACAAGACAGTTATAGTGAGTGGGAAAGTGTTCTGGTCTGGTCTTTCTAAAAGAGCCATATCCTGGGTCAGTTCAGTGCCTCTGGTCACACCAATAAAAGTCACATGAAAAGGCCCCATACTCCATCTCCTGACTTGCCCCACTGGCGAAGAGCTCAAGTGAAGTCACCAATAGAAAAGGGACTTTCAATTCTACTTGTTGAAAGTTTTGATTCCAGCCATTCCTCTGGCTGCTTGGCCAAGGAAGCGTGTTGGAACCCCTCAGTGTTTAAGGTTTGTTTTAATAGGTAAGGGTTACGGAATTGTACACATTTTGGAAAAACAATTTAGGCTGGCCTTAGTACTAACCCAAACCCTCCCCAAGGTTGCAGACTATGTTAGGAACAGTAGCTCTGTTCACAGAGGTCAGGGTGGCTACTCTGGGGCCCGTTTCTACCATCCCCTAAAATCAACACCCCCAACAAGTAATAATGTATCCTAATGGCCAGGGGCTAGCTGGGTAAAAAGGGCTAATGCCACAACTCCAAATCCAGAGGATGCTTCAGGAAGAGGTAGGTGTTCTGCCAAAGTTGCTCCTGCCCCGACCCTTCCATTTAGGCCACAGGAAAGCACTCTGTCCCTCACCAAACCAAACTCAGAGTCATCTTGTACACACAGGCCACACAACTCTTGGGACAGTCCGATCAGTTTGGAATCTAGATTCTTAAAGCTGAACCACAACCCAGAGGTGGTCTAATCCCACCTCAGTATCACAAGTTGAATCTGGACGGCTATATTGACCATAGCTCTAAAACTTCAAGAGGGAGAAGCCGGTAACCACACCACCTAATTTGGGCAGTCCCAACCTAAACTGGAAAATCAGCGCGGTGCCTCCCTTGCGGTTTTCCATTCCAGCACAACCCAATAAGAAGAATCAGGCATCACTCTACTCTTCAGTCGGAGGGTAGCCTGGCAGGGGGCAGGGAGGAGAGCGCACACTGGTTCCTGGAATGCAAGGTCCAGACACCAGAGCCCCATGCGAGCAGCCGCCACCGCAGAGCATCCGATCTGCCCATCTATTCCGCTTCCTCTGCGCTCTACGTCCCCGGGCTCTAGAAAGCCCATCTCAGCCTTTCCGCGCAGCTATCGACCTCTCCGGCGCCCTTCTGTGGCTCACACATCCCAGGCCCTCCAGCCGAAGGGACAGCGCTGTGACCTCCTTCCTCTCGCCACCGTGGCCCAGCGATCAGGTGCCATTAGAACCGGGTTCAGGGAGTGCGCGGCCTCCCGAAAGGATCCCGGTCCTCAGGGGTGCCTGTGTCCCCAACCCCCATCCGGTATACCCCCAGCCCGGAGGTGCCCGGGTTCCCATCCTGTGTGAACCCGCTTAGTCCTCACCTGCAGTCCTCCAGCCGGCAGTCGGGCCCACGCAGCCTCACTATCCAGGCCCCGGGGCAGCCGGCGACACAGCTACTGAGTGGGTGCGTCCCCGCCGGCAGCCACGCGCCCCCTCTCTGCGTCCGGCCCCCGCCGCGTGCGCATGCCCGACCATATACCCCGCGCGCGTCACCGCAGGGCCCGCCCCCGCCTGCTGCCCCGCCCCACTCCCCCGGCCTGCCACGTGGGGCGGTCAACGAGCAGCGCTCAGTCACCCGGGTCAAACTGGTCCTCTAACTCTGTGCATCCCAGGCTCGCATCCTACTTCTCGCGACCTCATCACCCTTTCTTTCGATTTCCATCCTTGACTCACAGAGGCCCCGCAGGCTCCTCTGTTCTCTGGAACTCTTCCATCTGTCCTTCAGTGCCCTTTGTGAGAAACAGCCTGGCCTCTACCCTAAAGTAGAGTGCCCTTCTCTCGGTAGGTCTATGTGTTTTAACGCTGCTGATGAATCTAAGCATGTTCTCTACGCAGGATGGAGCCAATCCATAGATTGTTTTTCTTTTGCACGTCCTAGCCAACCAAAAGGACTAAAATGTCTTGTCACAATCCAAATAAAAGATTATATTCACATTTTAGATTTTCCAGATGTTCGCGTCACTTTCTCACAGTAATCAGTGTCCTGTCCTAAGGAGCCAGTTAAGCCTTAGGTTGTGTCTGAGTAACGTCTTAGGAGGGAGTCTCTTCCGCTGTAGGAAAGGCCTATTGTGTTGGATATTGAATCTTGGACATGCAAATTTCTTGAGAAAAATAAACCACCCACTAAACTCTTATTGTTCTGTTCAGCTGGACGTTGTTATGATTATCTCCTCTATAGTTTAACCAGATGTCACTTGGGGCTTAGAGAGTCAGTGGAAGTTCTTTAAATGGCATTGGAGCCAGTGAGTACCCATGCTTCTGTTCAAGCACAGGGAAAAGTGCCCAGCTGCCTGCGAGTATCTCTAGATTTGTGCAGTGGATTGGCATTCAAGTATTGGGGAAAGTTCCCGCAAGAAGGACGGAACAGGAAAGGAACCCAAGGTTCCTAGAATAGGTGGCAGGAAGGACTCTGCTCAGTGGCAACTTGCTCTTCAGGGCTGGCTAGAGAAAAAGGAAGGAAAGTACTCAAGTGGGTGGGTGGGTGGGGTAAGAGCCAGTCCTGGTGATACAGACCTATAATCTCAGCTACTTTGGAGGCAGGAGGATCTCAAGTTTGAGGCCAGCAGGGGCAATTTCGTGAGACCCCTTTTCAAAATAAAAGGTAAAAGGGGGACTGGGTACATGTTGGCCCAGTGCATGCCTACACCTGCTTGAAGCCATGGGTTCAAGAACAGCAAAACCAGGTCTTGTAATTCAGCACTTAAGAAGTGAGGACATAAGGATCACAAGTTTAAAGTCACCCTTTGGTCCTATTATAAGTTTGAGGCCATGCCTGAGCTACCTGAGACCCTCTCAGTCAATTGATGAATGCCTTGCCTAGCATACACAAAAGATTTACTGAGGCCAGTCAGAGTCTTCTGCTCTGTGTTTTTCTAAAATTCAGTTATCTTCACTCTGTAGTTACCGTGATCCAGCGGGTAAAGGGGAGAGCTAAAACAGCCCTCTCATTTACTTTCTGCATGATTTGGAGGTAATGATAGCTCTTGAAGAATTTCCTCCAGAGCCCCTTCAACTCTGTAATAACACTGAATATTTGTCTCGGGTTACTTAGTGTTTTTCAGACATTATGTCATCCACTTGGGACTCCAAAGTGCAATAGGCTGTCAGGAAAGGTCAGTCCCCCACCAGACCCTTCCTCGAAGGAGTATATAAAAACAATGAGAAGCCCACCTAGAGATGAGATACTTCAAATACACAGAGCTCTGAATAGGAGGAGCCCATAAATACACATCCCACATGATTCCAGGCAAGGTGTCTACTACAGCTCGCACTAAGCAACTGTCAGAGCTTACACTATGCCCAGAGGCCATATCGGGGGAGGTGAGCATGAAGTCTTAAAGTAATGCCAGCACTTGGTCAGCTAAGAGGATCAAGGGTTCAAGGCCAGTTCAGCTCCACAGGGAGAGGCCAACCTGGGTTACAAGAGACCCTGTCTCCAAACAAACATATAAACAAAAGCACTAGCGGGAAAGACGCATGGCATGCCGGACACCCCGTCTCTGGACCTAGCTGTGTGGCATGACAGACACCCCGTCTCTGGACCTAGCTGTGTGGCATTGTTACTTGTTTGTAGAACTGTCAAAGTCCATGGGGGCAACCGGAGGAGTTGATAAGCTATCTCAAGCTGATAAGCTAAACACCAGAGAAATACAATTAATCATTAACATAGCTCAAAATCAAAAGGTCCTAAGTCTCTGCCTCCGCCCCCACACACATTTCTTCAGGAGGTATATCCTGATTAGATGACATACCCAGACTAGGTCCTACCTCGTCCACGACAGTTTGGAGCCTGGGACCTGTGTCGCCAGTGTCCCACCTCCCTTACTGCAGTCACCCTTTTCTCTCATCCCCTTCCACTTGCCTTCCTCTCAGTAAGTTTCTTGATTGTTTTGAAGTATATCTGATCTACTCTTTCAGACTTTTTGGAAACCCGTATTCAAAAAAAACAACGTATTTGGTGATCTGACTGTGGAGATCTTCTGGCCTCCACAGGCACTGCACACACATGGTGCACTTCCAGGCATGAAGGCAAATCACTCATATATTTATATTAAAGAAAAAATAATAATATAGTGCCACAACTCCAGTATAAATAATATACCAAGCAAAAATTTAATAAAACAGGGTCTTGGTAGAACACTTGGCTAGCATGCTTGAGGCTTTGGGTTCAATTTCCAGGAACATAAAACAAAGGACCACGCACAATGGCCCATGCCTTGAACCCCAGCACTCAGGAGGCAAAAGCAGTAAGATCTTTATGACTTCACAGTTAGTGACAAACCCACTAAATTTGATTTTGTGACCATTACTGGCTTGTAATCTACAGAATTAGTATGATTTATGGAACTTGGATTTTTTCCCCTTGAAAGCATTTCACTTCTAATACGAGCTTTTTATCTTTTTATTTCATGTATCTATTAATTTACCATATGTATGTGTTTGTACATACGTGGTCATCATGAAACATGTTGGAGGTCAGAGGACAACTTTCATGCTATTGGTTTCCTCCTTCCTCCATGTGGGTCTCGGGAATTGAACTCTGGTCGTTAGTCTTGGAAGCAGGTGCCTCTGAGGTGTCTTGTTGAGACCCAAAGTATTTATTTTTATCCCTAACCTTAGACCTTAACCTGCCTTGATTGTGAGACTTCAATCTGTACCCGAATCCCCATAATATAGCAGCGTGCACATAACAGATTCTCTATAAATATTTGCTAGTCTGGCTAGCAACTCCCTCAAAGTTGGATGTTGGGCAATATTTAAGGGAACTAAACACAAGAAACTAAGATGGTCATGGCCCTGTCAACATAGGCAGACAGATTTTCCATGAGAGAGGTGATGGACTAGCCCTGCAGAAGCCAAAAAAAGGAGACACCCATCCTGCAGTGTGGAGGGGTGGGGCTGAAGGCTCAGACAGCCACAGTCCAGTGAGTCAACTGTGTTGACAAGAGGGACAGGGGATGAGCAGGGCAGCCAAGACTTCATCCTTCCTGTCAGTTTTGGACCATGTTGGTTTGGCTAAGAGTCTACAGTTTTCCTCCGGACTGTTATCAGTTCCTAGGGTGGGGAGGGGATTTGGGATGGGGATTTTTTTTCTTTGTTCTGGTAGGCCTTAACAAATTTAAGAGGATCAGAGAAAATATGAAGGTGTCCCTCACCCCAAAATCAGACTGAAGGACCCAAGGGCCCGTGTGTTAATACCCTATGCGGCTAGGCAAAGCTCAGATGACGGCCAGTGAATCACATATGAGCTTCTGACCCAGTCAGATAAAAAGGCAACTGGGAGAATACTTGGCTCTAGAGTAATTATCACTGGGAATTCTAATAATACAAATATCACCAGTATTCCATAACCCTTTTCTCCCTGCTTTTGGTAACTTGATTCTTCTTACTCTGTTTTTATTTCATGTGTCTGAGTATTTTTGCTTGCATGTATGTCTATATGCACCACATACGTATCTGGTACCTACACTGGAACAGGAGTGACGGAAGGTTGTGAGCATATGGGTGCTAGGAACCCAAGCCAGGTCCTCTGCAGAGGTAGCCAGTGCTCCTAATCTCCAAGACATCTCTCTAACTCCCTTAAATGTAATTCTACATTTATTTAGTGTACGGAGAGATGCTGCGGCAAATGTGTGGAGGCCAGAATGCAATTTATGGGAAACCAGTTCTCTCCTTCAGCACGTGAGTCCAGGGATGAAGTTGGACTGTCAGGCCTGACAGCAAACGCCTCCGTGTACTGAGCCATCTCATCAGTTGGCCCTTCTGTTCTATACCAGTCCAGCTAAAGGGCTACCCACTTTGTTAGTCTTTTCAAACAGACAACTTATGGCTTTGTTAATTTTTCTCTGCTATATTGTCTTCTATTAATTTCTGCTCTGGTCTTTATTTTTAAAAGATTAGGTGGCACACACCTAAATGCAGTTCAGCTCACTGGGAAGCTAAGGAAGAAGGACCACTTAAGTTTAAGTGTTCAAGACCAGCTTGGTCAATGTAGTGAGACCTCCATTTCAAAAATTAAAAAATTTTTATACACACTGTGGCACATGTTTCTCCCTGCCTCCCTACATATAATAAATAAATGTAATTAAAAAAAACTTTTAATGGTAGAGAAGGCACTTGGAAGTGAGTTTACTGGCTCCCCTTGAGCTGACAGCACCTGGTAAAACAGACAGTTCAAGCACATACACAAAACTTCAGTGCCTTACTGTCTGGTCCCCAGCCTGCTCAGGGGAACCCCCTGGCTACCAAAGGTGTTGCCCCGGACATGCTGAGTAACAGATGAATAATGCTAATTTTGCTTCTCTCTGAAGAGAAAGCATTATACCCATTTAATAAACAAACCACAGTCTTTCAGACACAACTACACACATAGATGTTTTTTATTTTACACCAGAGGACTCAGCTGCTTGGCACTGAAACTGAAAAACAAGGCAAGAACATCACATATACAAAGTACAGAC